TAGTAATCAATTTACTCGTCACTGCAGAAATGTCCCCGAAGCGTGAGTTGTTAGCGTAACACGTGATGTTGAATACACCAATGGTGGAGATCGGGACGTTAAACATGTACTCGTTCCTCTCTGTCCCTGGTTTGAGTTGAGTCGTTGAATTGTTGAAGATGATATACACTCCCGCCCCTGTCTCACTGTCGGCTACTATACACGTGCCTAGGACGTGTATGATGTTGTTATCACACTTGTAGTTGTCTTGGTTGTAAACAATCATCTTTACGCTGTCAGGGCCATCTACGTTGACAATTTTTGTATTTATATTATATATTACCAGGTATTAATTTTTATAGGAACAACTATACATTTTTTTAATATACTAATTTAATTTTTGACATATCTAAAAATGTATGCATTTTTATAAAATACAATATTTTTTGAAGTATAAGGCCATTAAAATCTCAATTTTTCATGTTTATTTTAAAGTGCGTTTTACTTTTCATGGTAGTATACTGGATGAAAAATGAATTCAATTTTAAAACTTGCAAAATAATAAATTTTTGATCAATACTTGAATTATTTCTTTTGAAATTTACACTATTAACACCTAGATGGAAATGCTTCTTTATTTGGCTAAAACAAATTAATGCCATAATTTTCCAAAAAATCTGATTCTTACACTTTAATATCGAAATTAAATGAAAAGTAACTAATAAAAATGTATTTGTTTGTGAAACTCAATTAAAACTATTGAAAAATAGCAAACAAAGAAAGGGAAAAACAAGAAATATAAATAAATATATGTATATAAACGAAACAAAGAATGTTTTGAGTAGATATCGCGAACATTTTGTAAAAGGAGGGAGATAATGATTAGCTTCGATTATGGCAGTTAAAGTAAACAGGAGATCATGTTACAAATGAAATGGCGTGAAAATGTATGCAGAAGTGTAAACAAATCATGCAGTTTGAGTAATAGATTAAGAAGGAAACATTTGAAATAAAAATAAAATGTTAGCATTATTTCAAACAAATATTCACAAACAAAATATGCCATGGAATTCAAGTGCGCTATAATAAGGTGAGGACTTGGACACTAAGATTTGTAAAGATTGTAGAGCTGTGTAGATATCATGGAAATAGATTGCCAGATAAGATGGCTTTTGCTCTACACACAACATCTGGAACTTTAGGCAAGGAATAGAGACGAAGTTAAAATGGAAAGCATGGCCATTTTTAAATAATTTTTTAAAATTTTTATTTGATGTTTCAGAAAGATTGTGATCAGTGAAGTTAGATTGGAAAGCTTGCAAACCTTTTTTCAATTGTCTTTTGCGTAGCAGTTGACACGACAACAGGTGCCTAAGTCTCAAATTTTGAAGATACAAAAGCCATATCATAATACAACTATTGCTTTTTATACATTTTGGTAACTTTGTTAAACAATCGGAATAAAAGTTTACCTCTTCGCTGATATCTTTCATGTGTGTGTTATACAAATTTGACAAAACTATTTAACATTTATAAAATACATTTTGCTAAACATTGTAAAAGTATAACCAAAAATTGTCATACATGTTAAACTTACACGCAATTTTAGGTTGATAAAATGTCATCATTGTCCAATTCATACGATTTGATACTGTGCACGTAAATTTATTTTGGGCTGTAAAAAATAGAAACATATTATTGTTTGGTACAACATTAAAAAGCAATAGAGTATCAAAAAAATAATAATAACATAAGGAATGCAAACTTAGTCAGCAGCTTTTAAAAAAAAAAAAAAAATCAAAATAAACACGGCTTTCATTAACTGATGACATTGCTCTATTGAATGATCTACATATAGGGCATTTAATAAATGAACTACATTCTCTTAAAAACAACAACGTGTTTTCAAACTTAAGTACACGTATTGACATGCATGAGCGCACGCTGAAAACTTTCTAGGGAGGGGGGCAAAAAAATCGATTAACTTTCCGGGGGGGGGGCAAAAAATTGTTAGTAATGTTTTAATATAGTTTTAATTTACTGTAGCGTATTTGTATGGTGAACGAACGGACAGGACATCAAGCTTAGTTACTTTCTCTTTATTTTCTCTTTATTTTCTCTTTACTTTAATAAATTGTTTGTCTATTTTTGTCTAAAATTTTGTCATCCAATCAATCCAGGGGGGGCAAGTGCCCTGACTTGCCCCTACCTGCGGGCGCCCATGTTGACATGAAGCTCAGTTCAAAACGACTGTGTTCTTTATATTAGTTAATAAAACATAAACCATCTTTATGATTTCACCTTTAACAGCAAGACAGTCACTAGTGTAGGGTAAAACAGTTGCTTGTGTAAGGTAAAACAGCTACTAGTGTAGGGTAAACAGTTACTGGTGTAGAGAAAATTAAGTAAAATGAAGGAAATGTTTTTAATGTCACTAAACGGATATGTCAATATGATAATTGCACCTAAATGTGCTTTTCCTGGTGATATATATTTAAATCTCAATTGAAATTGAACTAAACTAATTACAATTTATCAATCTGTTTGCAACAAATTCCATCGTCCCCACAGAACCATTCAAAGCTTTGTCACTTGACCACGTGACATGTGTAGGTATAAAACTTGTTTTCTTGTCATAGCACGTGCAATTTATTCGCTCATTTTCTTTAATGTAGTCATTGACTCTGCAGTCAGGGCCAAGAGCAGCTTCTGGAACATCTGAACATTTACGGTTTTGATCAATACAAAAACATTTATTATACAAATAGGCAATGGCAGTTATTTATAGTGTCTTTTGGTATATTCAAATATATAAACTTTTTATTTTTTAAATAATATAATTTACGCAAGCCTGCACAACACACGACCTGTTGGCCGCATGTGCTGGTAGCCCGCAAAGTAATTAAATATTCTTAACATTATTATTTTCTTAATAGCTTCCACCCCATCCGTCCTATTATCTTTTGGCCCGCACAATTTTTTTTTCTTATAACATATTACTACCCGCACAAGTTTTTGTTTTACGGCCCCCCTTAGATTTAGAGTTGTTTAGGCCAGATTTTAGTATTAATGAATAAAAGTGGTGATAATATATTTCATTTTGCATATTCTGTTGATTTATCAAGTTGTTACACTACTTTTTAAAACAATAAACAGTTTTCTTTGGAAAGGTTTGTTGTTTTTTTCATCGTTTCCCACACACAATAAACACAAATAAATACGTCTATATTTAATTACATAAATATATAAGTTTACAATGATAAAAATTGACATTTACTTAATATTATCGGAGCGGAATCAGGACTCCTTCTTTTCATGTCTTCAATGATATTTATAGTTATATTTGGGTACATAACAACTTGAAACTGATGAGTGCCAGGTCCGAGAATGTAACCAGATATTAAGTAAGAACATTCCGTTCTTATATAACCAGCAGTGCTTGAAGGGCCATGTTTGTAATTGGTGGAGCCATTGAGTAATTCAGATGTTATTGTGTTCTGTCAGAAATATGAGGTCACAGTGAAAAAATAATTCTTATTATTTCAAGATAAACGAATGATCAAATTAAATATGACGAATTTCATCTTACATTTAACATAATATTTTAAAGTTCAAAGATATTTATAGTAGCCACGATTATATTTAGTAAAAATATACTTAATGCAATTATCAACATACTATATATTTAGGAATTCGCAACCTTGCTTATACAAAAGTGACGGATAAAAAAAAAATATTTGTCCATCAATAATCTTCTTAAATTTTGGAAACACTATTGTAAATAATAGATATATATAATCTCTATGACAAGACGTGATCATAAGCTTACAGCGTATTACATGTATTACAAGAATGAATAAATTAGTCTCGTGAAATCTAGTAAAAAAAATGTTTATAGATTTATAAATTTGTAACAGTATCTTCAAATAGATTCATATTTTATCCTTGTTTGATATAAAAACACGCTACATTGGTTTTAATGGAAAAGCCACAGACTGCCTCTGGCAGAATCTTCTCTGTGATGCATGTGATTTCAACGACAGTTTCATTAAGAAGAGAGACGTTGAGACATTTGGGTGTTTCGGCAGGAGCTTTTATAAAAGAAAATAAAATTATTATAAAGTCAGTTACATTAAAACATTACAAAATATTTATAAGTTCAGATTATTCAATTAATAGCTTATATTTTTGTAGAGATTCGAATTAAATACAAAGATTTTAAACTTTACTTTAAAAAAGGTAGGCTAGTAAATATTCAGATCTATTGCAGACATTAATTAAAAAAATTTTTTTAACATTTTAAACTTAATTAATAAAACAAGTGAGAAAACTCACCAAAAACAATTATGTTATAGGTCGTGACTATCGGTGAACCAGGGTTATAATTAGCTTGACAGCGCCAACTAGTGTTATTGTGAGATGGTGTGACAGACTTGATAGTAAACACACTGGTCAGTGTTGATGAGTTGGATGTGATGTTTGCATCGTACAAATCAAGGGTGAGATTGTCAGATGCCACACAGTTGGCCGTGCTGCTGATGTCACAGTTGAATAATGGCCGGAGTTGTTGATCTTGCCAGGAAATGGATGAAAACCTTGTTTGTGCCACGGTGCATGTCAAGTAGGTTGGTGTTCCAACTGAAAACCACTCAGCCAAAATAACTCCTGTAAATATAGTAATGTTGTGTCATTTGAAGAGACATCCTGTTTAAAAGATGTGTTATTAAAAACTATTGACAAAATAAACTTAAGTAAAGATTACAGTAAAAAAGAAACAACTGAATTTTATTTATTTTTTTCTTTAATTTTTTTTTTCAATTTCCACAAAGATTTCTAATTTATAGAAAATACTTAGACATTTTGAGGAACCAGTGAATCTGGAAAGAGGTTTGTCTTGTAATGGACAATAGTATTATTTGGAAAAGAAAATATACCAAAAAAAAATTAAATAAATAATAATAATACTTACTTAGATTTACATTGCTTATGACAAATATCAAGATTCTTGGAAGTCGGAGCATCTTTTAAAAACAAATGCTGATACATTGAAAAAAAGTAAGGAAATTTTGGGTAATTTAGTATTTGAAATAATTGTGATGAATTTTTTTTTTTTTTTTTTTTTTTTTTTTTTTTTTTGTTTTTTTTTTTTTTAAATCTTGTTTATTTTTTTTTTTTTTTTTTTTTTTGAAAGATTGTCAAGTTTCAGAAATAAATACATGTCTATAGACTAAACGAAAAATATACCTTCATGTCCTTTCAAAAAAAGTGTGACCTTAAAATATTTTGATGCCCCAGAGATCGAAGACAAAGTTCAGTAAATATTCTGATTTTATGTTAAAGAAATATTAATATAAAACATTTTTTTTCCCTCTACATTTTTTATGTATTCTTAAAATGCTAAAACACGACCTAAAACATTATGATTATCTGCATGTGTATATTTACTTGCATAAATGATTGGTATGTATTATACTTGTAACACTGTACACATTAGTTATGTTGAAGTTGTGGCGACAAAAATTCTTGAAAATGTGTCAAAAGCATCGTCAGAAACATTGTTTTTTTTTTTGTTTTTTTTAATTATTTCAAATAGATTTTTCTCTAATTCGACAACCGTAAAATAACATTAAAAAATTATCTGAGTTAATTTTTTTGTGTTTTTGTTAAGATCATATTATTTATAGTTTGATAAATAATGTTACTTATAGATTTATGTATGTTTCACTTTTATATTCCTAAGTTTACTCACTTATTTGTGTGACATCGTCAAGCTGTCGGCAATCTTTATTGTGTGATTCAAGAAATGGAAATGAAGAAAAAAATGGGAACCTCATTTCAGACAACTGATCTTTTGAGGAAGTAAATAATGTCAAGAACATGGGTTTTAGGAAGTGCAGTGTTTAGAACGGCATTGAACATGTTTATATTTTAAAGAATGTTAAAAACCAATAAATAGTAACTGAAATATCGTAATATGTCTTCTTACTTTCAAAACAATTTCGTTGCATCAGTTTAACATAATGCTAATTTATTAAACCATATTTCATTATGGTATTTATGTTTTCAAGAGCGTTGAGTTAATTAAATGTTGTAGGTGTTTGTACTTTTATTTATGTATGGGTATTGATGGGCAGAGTACTGCATGCTAAAAATTGAGGGAACAGGAAGGTGCCCGCTCATCTCTTGAAAGAAAGAAATAGCAATAAACAATATAATAATAAAAGAAATAACCAAAAGGCCAAGACCAACCGTCCCTCAAAGACTCGAGTATTGTATAAGCAAGTATTTACCACCTACTCCTCATACGTTAAAATTGAAATAAAGATATATTAGCAGACTGATTACTAGTTTATCGTCCATCTCAATTATATAGCATTATGTTGAAGGAGTTTCAATATAAAGGCTATGACTTGCACTGAAGTAATATGTTACAGAGATGATTTAGAAAATACTTTATCCCCCCCCCCCAACCCTCCTTTTTTATTGTTGGTTTCACTACTTTCAAAACGTTTCAAGATATTATTTCCTACATAATTTACTTCCTGCAGCTGGTCTAAAGTTTACAAGACTTCTTTTTTCTCGGTGTATTGTCACTAGAAATGGTGCGATCAATACAGTGAAAAGCGTAGTGCGTAGGTGCGATCCTGAATGTTTTACAACTCATGGGGACATTTTTCTTTACCGACGTTTCTAGAGTTGTGTGACCATTAACAACAAGCCTAGTCCTGTCTAGACCAGCGCTTTCAACACCTTTCATCTTACACTTTTAACTCTTGGCACTCTTTAAATTGACTTTAACTCCAGGGCCATCTTCCCTGTTATAAGAAAAGTAGTCTTTTTATTCAAATACAATTATTAGGGGCTTTTCTTTTTGACCAAAAGAAATATGCATTAACTACATCGGGTGAGGGGGGCGGGGCCAGGCGATATGCTTAACTTGTGAATTACTCAACTAAGCATTATACGAAGTTTCAAAAGAAGCAATGCCTTTTAAATTTATCGCAGCCACTTTTGACATTCTATATTTTTGTTTGTAACATGAAGAGTGGTAAGCAAATGGTGAATGTGTGGGGTAAAATTGGAACGTTAACAATAAGATAAATAAAGATAATTTAATGATTTTATTGATACAAGTAAATTTAGATTTTCTTTTGATTTTGTTGCAAATATTGTTTTCCGTATTGAAATTGTTTGTCAACGATTTTTTGGGTTGATTTTTTTTTTTTAATTTTTTTTTAAATTGGAACTTTATAGTTTGTATGGGGAATTTAAAGTGAATAAGAGTCTATCCATTTTGGGCCAGTCTAGACCTTTGCAAAAAAATCGATAATTTTATAAAGGCTAAATCTAAGGCATATTAAAATCGTTTTTAATGAGAGAAATTTTTAATTTCAATTTCAAAATGTTTCTGAATTATTTTAAATAGCCCCCTATCACAGGCATAGCTAAAACGGTGCCTATATTGAATGGGCCCCTATTTGAACTTATTGGTACTATAGTAAAAGTAGTTCATATAGTTATAGAATTTTTCGTATTCAAAAGACAATTGACGCGGAGAAGTCTTCTTCCACACGTTTCGAGGAAAAAAATAATTTCAATCTGGAAAGTTCCCTAAATATATATATTTTTCTAATAGGTTTATATAATGAGATATAAAAACTTATTGAATTGTTAAATTCTATTAATTTCTCTACTTTATTTCCATTTCGTGAGGAATTTCTCTAAAAATATCTTTCATACTCCTAAGAGAAAAAAAATCCAACTAGGAACATGATACCACCGAGGAAAAATATTTTAATGAGGAAAAATGAAACAGGGATAGCGATCCAAAGGGAGAACTGGATACCATCAAAGAACGGGATCGCATCATGATACGGGAATATAGCGTTATCGGGAGCCCAATAGAATTTGGGATACCATCGGGACCCAAAAGGATCTCGATCCCACCGAGATCCCACAAGGGAAGGGCTCCTAACGCAGAACGAGATCGTGATTGAAATAGCAATCTCACCGTGATCGGGATCCCATCGGGATCGGGAACACACCGATATCTCACCGAGAAACATATCCCACTGGAATTGTTTTAGAACTGGGATCGGCATATCTTCGGTTCGAGAACCCACCAGCATCGGTATCTCAAAGGGAAATTTGATTCCATAGGGATAAAAAAGGCTCGGGATAGGCAAAATGGGGGGTCTGGTGGGATCAGGAATCTACTAGGATTGGGATCCCACCAGGATCGGGATCCAACGGGTTTCGGGAACCAACCAGAAAATGGGATCCCACCAGGATCAGGATTCCATCAAGATCCACTCCAGATCGCTATCACACCTGTATTGCGATCAGACATGGATCATCCACAGGAGAGACCGTCAATACAATCGAATAAAGAAAAATGGCTCAATTGAACTGAGAGATTAGTTACTGAGGCTCCGCCAAACCATGCGCAGATCATATTCGAACCACATGAACAGCATCTTCTCAGAGGAAGACAACACGACCAAAGATGCCATAAACAAGCGCTTCTGGAGCTATGTGAAGCACCAGAAGGACTCAAACGCTGGAGTATCCCCTGAGGTGGGATGACCAATTGACATCCACCCAAAAGCACACGCTGACATACTCAATCAGCAGTTCCAGTCGGTTTTTGGTGACGGTAGAGGGTACTCGGCGGCTGAGTTCCTTCTGAAGACCAAAATGATGAACAGAGCCTACACTGTCATGAAAGATATCCAGATATCCGAGCAGGGTGTGTTTGCCCTACTCAAAACCATTAAACCTTACAAAGCATGTGGTCCTGACAACATCAATCTACGTGTGATCAAAGAATTAGCCAAAGAAATTGCTCTTGCATTGACAATCCTCTTCCAATCGTCGATGTGCACAGGAAATGTTTCAGCAGACTGGAGGATAGCGCATGTCACTGAAATCTACAAGAAAGGGGAGAATTCCGAGCCTGCCAACTATCGACCGATATCCTTTACCAGCGTGGTCTGCAAACTGTTGGAGCACAATAATCGTAAGCACAGTCATGATCATCTTGAAAGCCAAAATATACTCAATGACTGTCAACATGACTTCCGAGTCAATAGATCATGTGAGGCCCAGTTCCTTGAATTTGTAGAAGACTTGATGACCAATCTGGAGAACAACAAGCAGACTTACCTGCTGGTGATGAACTTCGCAAAGGCATTTGGCCATGTGCATCATAGTTTGCTTCTACAAAAACTCAAGAGATATGGGATCCAAGGCACCACTGAAACATGGATCTCTTGTTTTTCTCAGCCACCGAGGCCAAGCAGTAGTGGTGGTAGGAAAAATCTCCTTATTTGTCAATGTGAAGTCAGGGGTACACCAGGGATTAATGCTAGGTCCCTCTTTGTCCCCATCATTCATTAATGACCTATCCGAGAAACTGACATCCCAAGCAAGACTGTTCGCAGATGACACAGCAGTGTATGATCGCCAATCTGTTAGCTGAGTGAGAGATGAGCTGGGACATGGAAATTCACCCTGCCATGTGCCAGACAGTCTCTAGAAGTTGTACTCATCTACACCACACATATGAACTGCATGGCCATATACTTGAGCGAAGAGGCCATGACAGGCAATTTAGGCTCATACCAGCAAGAAACCAATATAGGAGCTGCTCATTCCTGCCCAAGACAATCAGGGACTGGAACAAGCTGTCAACGGGAACAGTTGAGGCGGAAACACTAGACCCATGTGTGTATATTGCCTCAAGCCTTCAAACCCCTTGTGCATGATTCACTCACACAGTGGCACTTGCAATCAGTGAAATGTCCTCATCATCACCATGCACAGAAACATTGCAAATTCCCTCTACAAGCATAGGAGACAAAATGATCAATAATTTGATCGTGGGCCCTTAATATATAGAGAAGAAGAAGAATCAAAATCCCACCGCTGACGGCATCCAAACGGGATCCAACTTGAAAACGAGATCCTGGCGGGGTTGTGATCCCTCCGGGAATTGGGGATGCAAACGGGAAACGGGATC